GAAGCGCACATAGCCTGTGACCGGTGCCTTGGGCCCATTCGGCAGGATCTTCTTCCGCTTCTTGCCCTTTGGCCAGCCTCGCTTCTTCACCGGCTGTAGAATCAGGCAGCCTCATTGGGCGGGGCCTGATGGGCTGGGGGGGCCTCGGGTGCATGGGTGGGGCTAGAGGGTGGGCGGGCCCTAGCTGGGAGAAAGGACTGCAGTATGGTCCGGGGGTCAGACGCTGGGAAATTAGAGGAGTCTGTGAGTAGCTGAGGGGTCAGACACGAGAACTGGGTTGAGCCCAAGGATGAGCAGGTAGGGAGTGTGGGCGTGGCCTCTGGCGTGCTGTGTGGCTTCTTTGGGGAAGAGGGGTGCTGCGCAAGCAGGTGAGCGCTGCACAGTGGAGGAGTCACCACTGATAGGTGGGCGTGGTCAGCACTTGGGACTAGATGGAGCCTAATAAGGGCGTGGCATCTCCCAAAGAGAATGGAATCTCTGGTTGGACCCACTGATTAGTGGCAGTGATGGGGCCACAAGAAATTCAAATATAGTCCGGTAGGCCTTCGAGGCAGGGTCGGAAACTCACCTCCTCCTCGTGGGTGCCCTTGTCGCTGGTACGAGGGGCCTCACTGCGCTCCTGCTTGACCACCACGAAACCCCCCTGTGGGCCCGGAGTCTTGCCGCCTGTAGGCCTGGGGCCATGGTACACCAGGGTCACTCCAATCCCTGGTACCTTTCCTGTCCCTAAGCCCAACCTTAGTGTTTAGAGACCACGGATCACCGAGCTGACAGCGGGGAGAACAAGTCCAGGGATAGGGAGGTCTGAGGGCTCGGGATGCAGAAATCAAAATAAAATTAGGGTTGACAGAGGCCCTAGGGGGGGCTGGAGCCCCAAACTGGGGAGCACTAGATGGTCTTGGGGAAGAAGTACTAGCGGGGACTCCGATCCAGATTAGAAAGGTCAAGATTTTAGGGTGCAGGCTGAGGTCCTGGAGAAGACTGTGGAGACCCTCTGACCCAGACTGGGGCAAAGACTGTGGGGCTGAAACAGTGACCCAGAAACAGCAGCGAGGACCCCCTGCTGGGGAGATCAAGACCCTGACACGCGTACTAGGGTCCAGGGGAGGGCCACGAGGACCCCTGGTCCAGGCTGGGGAGCCTAGATCCTGGTAGGTGGGTCCCAGGGAGGTACCCTGGGGCCCCTTATCTAGGTTGCGGGGCCTGTGTGGACTGGAGATCCGAGATATACATCGTAGGATTCCCTTGACCCAGATTGCTGGGGCCAAGATCCTGGGGTGCGGGATGGGGTAGGGGGCGGTGCACTCACACGGAGGCCGCTCCAGGCTGCTTGGGACCGTGGGACATGGCCGCACCGGGCCGGACCTGAAACACAGAAGCAGACTAAGATGAGGGCGCCCCGAACCCCCGATAGGGAGTGCCGTCCCCACCCCGACCGGGTGTCCCGAACACCAGGCCTAGGGATCGTAGGCAGCCGGATCCCGGGCGGGGAAGCCCTCGAAGGCGGGCGCCCCAAGAATCCTTTGTTGAGCAGTCGCCTCACGAGATGCCGGGACAGACTTCCTTTCTCTAGCCCTACAGGACCCTGCTCTGGCTCTTGAGACCCCCGCGCCCCTGTTCCCCTTGTGGGGCCCCGAGTTCCCAGGCTGTTTTCACCTCCAAAGAAACTTTCCCGGACCTTTCCACTGCGGCGACGCGCCAACCAACCTCTCTGAGCCCGCCCCTGCCGGCTTCCCCGCCCCTCTCCGCCCCCAGCACGCTAATGACCGCCCTCGCGAGCGGTTCTGCTGGATAAAGCCTCATTTGGGGGCGTGGTCATGCAGATGAAGGTCGGCGGGCCCAGCGGTAATTGGCTGAGGGGCTGCAGGATTTTTTGGGCGGTAGGGAGGGAAGAAGGCTGGCGGTGCGTCAAGTTCGGCTGCGCTCGGTCGCTTTCTGGACCAATCGTAGGCATTTAGATTCCCCGCCGGGTGGAGCCTCTTAAGGGGACAGTGGGCTCGTTCAGACTCCACCCCAGTAGAAGGCGATACTCCCCGCCCCTCCAGGATCTGGGGACCTGCCTCTTCGGGTTGGGCCCCGCCTTAGTTGCCATGGAAACAACCTTACGTTGCTAAGGGTGGAGTTAAGGTCTAGCGTCAGCTCGCAGTAGGGAAAGCAAGGTGAACCTGTTAGCATCCTGCCAACGCAGTTTCAGGGAGGAGTTTCCATTTATTCTTTTAACAGACCCTCTTGTGTCTCGCCCAGGTCTGTCTTTGGGACTTCTGCACACAGTGCCTGAGCATCGTGTACAGCCCCGAGAGCCAGCGGGGAGGCTGTGAAGCCGAGACGCAGGTCTGGGTCAGGTTGGGGCTGGAAGCATTTGGGAAAAGATGACAAAACTGAACCCAGAGCTTTCCCACTGCGCTCCACGCAGCCTCTTCCAGCAGATTTGAGACAGCGTCTAACTAGGTTGCCCAGGCTGAGGCTGAATTTGAGATCCTCTTGCCTCTGCCTCCTGAGTGCTGGGATGACAGATGTGCACCACCAAACCCGGCCTAATTTTTCTTTCATGATGCACTTTATTTTTTCTTCAGGTTTTGGTATCAGGGTTATGCCGGCCACATAAAGTGGATTAAGAAATTAGATTAGGGCCGGGGAGATGGCTCAGTGGAATAAGCGCTTCCCTGGCAAGCAGAAGGGTCTGAGTTCAATCCCCAGTTCCACCAAAAATAAATAAACAAATAAGAGACCACAAACAAGCAAATAAAGGGTTTGAAGTGGGCTTCCTTGTCTGGTTTTGGTGCTGGGGGTGGAAGTTGGGACTGTCTGATATTAAACATTCACCTTATTCCTGAAATCTGCTCTGCACTCCACCTTGGATTTACTGCTTTTTTGTTTTGTGTTCTGTGATATTGGGGTTGACTGCAGGGCCTTCATCACATCCCAGCCTTTCTTTTTTATTTTGAGAGAGGGTCTCAGTTGCAAAGTTACCAGGACTAGGCTTGATCTTCGGATCCTCCTGCCTCAGCCTCCCAAGTAGTTAGGACAGTAGACCTGAGACACCACTGCCT